TAATAACATTGATTTGAAACAGTCTTGATCATGGAAAGGTCGGTGTGTACGAGCGACTCATTAGAGTTTGCTCCGGGAAATTAAAAGATATATATTATAGGGGTACAAATAAGTTTTAAACCGTTTTTTGTAGAACATAAAAAAGTAATTCAAAATTTAAATATTCTCCCGCTCTTTTCCGATTTTGTAGTGTTTATATGGTAACATAAAAAATAACAACCAACTTCACGATATTGTTTGTGTAACCTAAATTGTAGCAGCTTGAAAATGGCAAACGAGAAACAATTTATTCGGCACTGCACTCGCTATGAATTCCATCAAGGAAAGAGCGCCGCAAAAGCGTGTGCATCAATTTGTTTGATTCTTAGAGACAACGTTGTATTCAAAAGTACGTGTGAATTTTGGTTCAGACGGTTTAAAGAAGGTGATTTCGACGTTAGCGATCGTGAACGTAGCGGAGCCTCTCTCAAGACTGAGAACGATGAATTGCAAGCATTACTCGATGAAAATTCGTCCCACACGCAAAAAGAGCTTGCATTACAACTGGGAGTAAAGCAACAAACCTTTTCCAACCGTTTACAGAAGATGGGAAAGATTCAGAAAGAGGGAAAGTGGGTACCACACGAATTGAGCCAGAAGAACAGATAACCGTGTCGAAATGTGTCTGAATCTGTACAACAAACAGCACAGAAAGTCTTTCCTGTGGAAAATCGTAACGGGTGATGAAAAGTGGATATATTACGATAATCCCCAGCGAAAAAAATCATGGGTAGATCCCGGCCAACCATCCACATCAACGCCAAAGTGGAATATCCACGACCAAAAGGTAATGCTCTGTATATAGTGGGATATGCAGGATGTGCTATATTATGAGCTTCTGCAACCACGTGAAACGGTTGATGGTGATCGCTATAGTCGACAACTATTGAGATTGAACGAAGAAATCCGTCGAAAACGTCCATATACTGGCAAAGGATTGCGTCCGGTGAAATTGCTTCATGACAACGCTAGGCCTCATGTCGCTAAAACGGTCAAAAAAACATTATTGATGCTTGGTTGGAATGTTCTACCGCACCCGGCCTATTCGCCAAATATAGCGCCAAGTGATTATCACTTGTTCCGGTCGATGCAAAACGCATTGTCTGAGGTACGCTTCTGGAATATTGAAGAAGTGCGAAAATGGGTCGACGATTTTATTAAATCAAAAGACGAAACTTTCTTCACTGCCGGAATTCGTAAACTGCCCGAAAGATGGCGCAAGGTCATAGATAATAACGGAGAATATTTTGATATTTAAATGTATTATTGAATTTCTGCAAAAAAATCTTGAATTTTCAAAAAAACGCTTTAAAACTTATTTGTACCTCTAATACAATTTTTTTGAAAAGTAAAACAATACTATTTTGTTTTAGTTGTGACAAGAGCGTGTACTTGGCGCCTCTTTTTTACCTTTCTTTCAAAAAGGTAATTTTTTGATAGATAATATATACACATGAAGCACATGAATAAAAGTATTTTACAGAAATTAGAATATAAATGTATGTAATTAAATAATAAAAATGTTGCAAAAATGTTGCAAAATTAATATATAATACATACACTTTTTTTATTCTTTAGAGTGCCGTCAATCTATTTTCTTCAGTCAGGTTTCTTAGCACGTAATACACGCACATAACTAACACACGCATAACACCTAACCTAAAAGATTTTAATGTATATGACAGATAGCACTGAGAACTACATATACAGGGTGTCCCAAAGTTCGCGGCCCAACCGTCGTGTACAGATAGAGCGGGTCAAACTGAATAAGTAAGTCCTTTACCACTTTGCAAAATTTTCAATAATTAATTAGAAAATAATTAATAAAGGTCTGCCAATCCGCGCAAGTATTCCCTGAGCGCCGAGCGCGCGGCGAGTAGGACCCTCCACTGTCACGCGCCGCTCGTGTGTAGTGTGCATAGTTAGCCAAGAGAGTGTCCCTCCCACCGCTCTGCCGCGCTTTGTATTATGCTATGCTGGGTGGGTCCTACTTGCCGCGCGCTCGGCGCTCGGGGAATACTTGCGCGGATTGGCGGATCTTTATTAATTATTTTCTAATTAATTATTGAAAATTTCACAAAGTGGTAAAGGACTTACTTATTCAGTTTGACCCGCTATATCTGTACACAACGGTTGGGCCGCAAACTTTGGGACACCCTGTATAGCGCCTCTATAGCTATATCCTTGAAGTAATAACTCTGTTTTATCTCATTATTTCGATATTGCATGCAAGTATATGCATAAATTTCAGTTCGAGGTGTTTTTTTAAAACTACACCTTTAAACTCGATTCTAAGAATTGAATGTTATTCTTTCACATATTCTGCATTAATATTATTTTTTGTTTTATACACAAAAACTGCATAATTTTTATATAAAGCGATTATTTTTATGAAGTGACCCAAAAGTCGATAAATAAAAATATACTTTTCTAATTTTTTGTCTTGTTTGGTTCAAATTCGACTCGACTTTAATACATTACAGTATATACTTTAATACTTTTCAAAAAAATTGTCGTATACAGGGTGTTTCATTTTAATCTAGCCAGGCGAATATTTCAAACGCTGTTGAGTTTAGAGAAAAATGTTTCAAACAAAAGTTGTAGGGTTCGGAAGGGGACACAAGATGGTGGGCTTGAGTTTTTGATGAAGATAAAATTGAAGGTCATATGAAGGTCAACTTTGTTTTTTTAAATAAAATGTAGTATTTTTTATTGCATATTCTGAAAGAACATAAAATTCTGCATTAAAATTGTCTGACACGTTTTTCATGAAAATCCATAATTTTTTAGGAAATTTAGACATATGTCATACGTCATATAACTAATATATAATATAAGTTCTATGACATATACATTTATTATAAAAATGTATACAACATACAAAATATTAACTTTTTACATAGATAATTTGATGTAAATGTACATATATGGAGCACATAACATACAAAATATATACACATGAAGCACATAAATAAAAGTATTTTACAGAAATTAGAATATAAGTGTATGTAATTAAATAATGGAAATGTTGCAAAATTTATGTGTAATACATACACTTTATCCTTCAGAGTGCCTTCAACCCATTTTTTCAGTCGGGTTTCGTAGCACATAACACAAACACACACACGCACACAACTAACTCACACATAACTAACCTAAAAGATTCTGTATATGACAGATAGCATTGAGAACTGTATAGCGCTCTACCTCTATCCCAAAATCCCGGAACTAATCTATAGCTCTTTTTTACCTTATTCTTTCTATATTGCACACATGCTTTGCATAAATCTGGAAAAGGGTGGCGTTTTGAAAATAAGTCTCTAAGCTCTATTTTTTTGGTTTTCCATTATTGTTTTATACGCTCTTCTTCGGCACCTGACCTTGTTTTACAGATTGAAGCAGTATAATTTTGATATAAAAAATATGATATTTTTTGAGGTGACATTGTCGGTAAATTTTCAAAATTTTTTTATTTTTTGGTTTAAATTTGACCAACGGCCGAAAGATTAGCATATGTACTTTATTTACACCAAAGGATTTGTAATTCTATTAAAGCAATAAAAAACGCCATCTTTTTTAGAAAATTGAAATTCGGTCGGTAACAATATGACTTTAGCATCCTCTTAACGATTAACATCTCGCTTCGCGGGGCAGAGCGACACTTTTTTCAGATAGGAAAGTTTTATTTCACACAAAAACGCGTCGAATAAGCCTAATTGGATCAAATTCGGAGGGAAGGTAGCGATACTGTATAATTACCATAAACATTATTTATGTAGCGAAGAAAATGTTACGATTTCCTGAGAGATGCCTAAACAACTGTGCCTATTTCTAATATAAAACGCTCCTAAGCCAGAGCTATCGGCGGCTCGGTCGCCAGCGGCCTAACGGTAGTGGAGGAACAGGAGGCGTCGTCTCGAAAATCGGCCCGAAATGTGCAATTCCGAGCTCTGATTTACATTGACTGGGTATTTAATACGAGTGGCCTTCACTTGGACACCGTACAATTAGACACCGTGCAGATAGACACGGTGCAAATAGACACGATACTTTGCACACGGTTCTATTAGGCACCGTTCAGTTGCGCACCGTTCACTTGCACACCGTTCAGTTGCGCACCGTTCACTTGCACACCGCTCACTTGGACACCGTTTATTTGAGCACCGCTCACTTGCACACCGTTTATTTGCGCACCGCTCAGTTAGACCAGAGAGAAGCCTAAGAGGGGCCATGTCGTCGTTTTTCATACGACGCTTTCTCTAGGCCAGGGCTCGGAATTATTTCATCTTTTCGGCCGATTCTCCGATGGTATACGCCTCCTTTCCTTTCCTTACCGCGCGCGCGGCAGCCGCTAGGACCAGTGTCGCCGAGCGTTAGGAGCGGCGCTATCCGATAAATGTCATCACTACCGTGATCCTTTGACCCGTGATTACCCGTGTGTAGTATTTTTGAAAAGGCAAGCATTTTGTAGGCAAGAGCTTTCCAACGATACTCTGTGGAGGTAATAAAGGAACGGTCATTCCGATTTTGAAACGCAATATTTCAAAAACAAACCACCAAACTCAAATTTCGCTAAGAGTGCCTGATATTTTAACCTTTTTCTTCTTTTTTAAAATTTTTTTTCTAATCTAACAAAATAATAAAAATTTTAATATCTTAAGAATTAGACTGTTCCGCATATTTATGTCATTCGAGTATATTTAATAAATGTTAGGTGCCTGTAACATTTTATCAAATCATCGGGCTTAGATTGAATACAGAACTTCAGCCCTTTATTTCTTTATATTTGATTGAATATCATATAGAACCTTTACTTATTTCAATTTTTAAATATTAAAAATTTTCCGGTTCACATCTAAAAGTAAAAGTATATTGGCGGATATATTTTGATTGACGTCCGCAAAGTTAATGATGCGTTGTACACATGATTCAATGTTGTTAATTAATCTATTTTATTACAGTGGGATCATCGGATGCATGGTTATCCCATAAGCTCTCTTCTTGCTCCATATCCAGCTCGGAGGACAACTTTATGCTTCGACGTTTGTCTTCTTGTTCCGGTTCCAACTCGGACACTGATAGACGTTATTCTACGTGTTCATCTGGCTCCGAAAAATCTTCTTTTCATCCAAGCTACTTGAATAACATCTATCGTCAAGAAAATCGCCATTGTTCTTGTTGCTCTTCTATTGGTATGTATCACATATTCTAAATACTAATAGCATATTGAACTTAATAAATTATAGTAGTGTCTATATTTAGTAACCTAAATATAAACACTACTATAAGTTGCAATTTTGTCCACTTATAGCGTTAAAATTAATTGTTTTCTACATTTAAAACTTATTTTTACGCTGTATTTTAATCCATTAACCAGCTTTGTTTATTTTTATTGTTGTTTCCCAATCTCGATACCTATCCCGTTTAAACTACCTCACAGTGTCACACAAAAAAGAACAAGTTCTCTGATAGCGCGCGAATATGATTACACAGATACTCTTACCAAGAAACGACTTTCTGTGTAGTTGAAACTCATTGCGGCAAGAACAAAAATCGTGACAAAAGTACAAAAAAATTTGAAATTTGTTTCTTGAATAGCAAATAAATTTCAATTTAATAACGTTTATTGTATAACACATCTTAAAATTATGTAAATTTTAATTACATAATTTTGAAAACAGTAAATAAATGAATTTTATAATTCTTAAATATAATAAATTTTATAATTAAAACAGTAATTTTTCAGGTCAAATATTTAACCAGTTGAGTGGTAATGTATCATATATGTACAAAAAAAAAGTGCCAAACGTGGTAATGTATCATATATGTACATTTTTAAATAACTCCAATAATTTTCAACAGATTTGCATAAAACTTGATATCCTAAGATTTTTTGGGCTGCTGAATTTGAATCTGATGTCAAAATTGCAAAATTCAAAATGGCGGATCCAATATGGCAACTGT